ACTGCAAGCCACACCCAGCCATCTAAAATTGTCATCCACAAGCCCTGGGTGGCAATCCATCCTCTTTTAGTGGGGTTGTGCTACCCAATCTTTGTCAGCAGCCTCACCCATGCCTCTCTGCCATATATGGACACTATTTGGCACTATTTGCCCCCTTCTGCCCTTGCCACAACTGCCACAGTGGCTGAAAGTGCGCTGGGTGCCTGTTTTGAACGCTTTTTTCAAACTCAGCTCAACTCAGCTAGTCCAGCTGCTGGGTGGGGGACCCAGGAGCCTTGGGTTCAATCCCTGGTAGTGCCGCTTTTGTCTGCATGTGGCTGTGCTATGCAGGCCTGGTTGTAACAATGGGTATTCAGGCTTTGTGAAATCCAATCAATTGCCTAAAATCCTGACTATATTCATGAAAGCAGCCACCGTAGAGTGTGTTGCTGATGCACTCACATCTTTGCTTTAAATGCATTAGATGAGGCACAGTATAGATGTTATCACTGGTGCCTACTAACTTTGGATAACTCCTGTGAGCTCAGTTCTTATCTGTTTGGGGTGATCGTATATACATCAGAAAGCTATGCAGAAGGCCTATATGACTGGTCTGGCAATGTAGAATGATAGTGTGTATTCTGCCTCTGTAAAGTCAAATACAGCACAAATTGACAAGGGCAGCTATAACACAGGGTGTTGTGACTGTATTGGCTTTGATGTGCATAGTAAGCACTTTAGTCCTAGCTTCCACAATGTTTGGACTTCTGCTATATGTTCTGTTCTTGTCTGTCTGTGGTGATAGTAGTGGTGTTTAACACAACATTAAATGTAGCATATTAAGGTCTCTCATAGCTTCTCATTATATTCCACATCTCATTAATCGTTTTCTGCCAGTAATGGCCCACTCCTACCAAGTAGGTTTTGGGGGACAGCTGAGCTTAACAAAGAGTGCTATCAGTGCTTGCTTGTCTTCATCAATGTCTTTGGCCTTCCAGCCTACAATCTCTGCTTCAGCACCATTGGTTACTCTGCACTCTGTGGCCTCATTGTTTTTAATCATCACTGGCATTCCAACACACAAAGACAGCTTTCCAGGCATATGTGTAGTCATTTTTGGATCCAAACTCCACAATAGATCTCGGAGTTCAGTAAAGGCAATCTTTGTTTTTCTAAGGGGATTGGTTGCTTTTTTACGGGTATACCTTGGCATGTCTTCACTCATATTATATCCTAGTCTGTCCATAGAATAAAAATTTACTAGTTCCTTCCCATGATCCTTTGCAAACTGAGCCACAGACTTTTCATTTATGCCATCCCTCACAGCATTATATCGGGCGATAATGGAGACATACTTGAAGTTTGGATCATTGAGAGAGGGTCTGCCTGGTGCACAGCTAGCAACTCTGGACTGCAACAACTTATAATCAGATTGTGTGCAGGCATAGTACCTGAGATTTTCCAAGGCAACACAAAGCTTTGCATCCTCTGGGCTTTGTGACTTCTGGCGCATATTTTCCCTCAATATTACTGTGGTAGTGAATTGGTGCCACAATGCTTTCCCAATGGACATTTGTTGCTGGGTATGAGAGTGTGTGTGATGGATAACACGTCCAACTTCACCTGAAAACAAGGGTGCACCACCTACTGCAGGAGGCAGCTGGGCAAAATCACCAGCAAGAATCATATTAATACCTCCAAATGGAGTGCCATCATTTGTTAGAGAAGCACACATTTTAGCGCATATAGAATAGAGATCCATGCAGTTCACCATGCTCACTTCATCCAAAAACATGTATTCCAGATGCTGAATGCGTGCCCGGACCTGAGCCAAACTAGCAATGTGGTCTAATCCATTTGAACACAGTCCTCGAACTATTCCCAGAATTGAAGGAAGCCACAAGTGGTCGAATTCCGATGCGAGAAGAGGCAGCCAACGAGCGCCTGTGAAGTGCCTGTCCCAATACTTTTCACAGGGACTGTACCTCTTCCTAGTAATAGATCCTTTCACCTTGTAGTTCATATGGTCCAAATCACTTAGGAGCCGGAAGCAAGCCTTTTCCTCCTCAGTCTCTGGTTTAAAACTTCCCTTAGACAGCCTATTTGCAAGCTCAGTCACAGTCTCTGTGCTGATATTCAGCAGTCTGTGTGCAATCTCATCAAAACGCTTCTTATCAGCAAGAAGATAGCCTGCACTAGTAGACTGCTTGATTTGCTCATGGTTCAAAGCAACCAAGGGAAACAATGGCTCAAGTTGGAAGGTTTATCATGGTACATCAGCAACTGCTGCTTTCGCTTCTCTTCAGATACACGAATAGCACCTTTCACATTTTTCAGCCCACCATAGCCGTACGGAAACAGCCACGGAAACATTTGTGGGTAGAGCTGAGGATTGTTATAGATGCTCTCTGGATTTTTTTCCTAACCAATTCCAAGCACCTTTCCACCAGATTTGTAGTGTTCTACAGCTCTTGCCTTGATTTCATATGGTCTGATCTTCCCCAGATGTTCAAGACGTTCACCGGTCAATCCATGCACTACAAATGGACACTTTCCATCATCTACACCCTCTTCTTCCTCTATTCCAGTGACTGCAGCTGCCTCTGGATCAATATTAGACATACTCTTAGTCTGAGTATAGTTCACAATCACTAGAGGCTCATCTTCTGGATACTCTGCCAGATTTTTGTATGAAATGGTCAGATCTGCATAGTCAGAATGGTTGAGCTTAAGCCACTCGAGTGCAGCACTGACTTTCTTTTGCCTAACAAGCATAGGTGTGCGTTTGTATTCCTTTGCTGTGGGCACATTAGGACCCAGAAATATAAATGCAAGCACTTCATCAAGCTCGTCTCTAGGTGGAGGCAGTACAGAATATATTTTAGGTATGGGGAGAGAATGGCTGACTACATTTGCCTTCATCTTAGATATGCCAGATATCTGGACTTTTACTATGCACATATTGTGCTTCACTCGGGCAATCAGGAGCTTTTCTGTCTAGCTCAAATCTTTGAGAGTATCTGGTACCTCTCTAATCCAAAGCCCATTTGCTAGACTGTTTGGGGGTAACTTTCCAGAAAGTAAATCAGTGGCACATGACTGGCAGACATCATCACAATTTGGCAGGAGCACCTTCCCTAGGATATCACAAGTAGGATCTGCAATAGAAGTGCACTCTACCTGTGTAACTGGCCTTTCTAGAATGAGAATATTTAGATCACATGTAAGCTTGCTGAGGGGTTGAAGTGCTGACTTGTACGTCAATAAGCCACAGACTGCACAGGCGCTCTCTTGGAAGTTCCGGAGCTGAATGTCTGAGGCAAATCCAGTGATAATGTCTCCAAGCAACTTGTTATCAGGTGGATCCGGTGGAAACCGGTTCTTTATAGGGTTTGATACTGGTTGATTCAAAGTTAGGAGAGCTTTGGCACGCTTGTTCTTTTGTTTTTACTGTTAGACTGAACCGGCTCAGTTGGTACGAACGATGTTATAAAGTCACCACATGCAACACAAGTGTGGTTTTGTAGCCTGGTGATTAAATTGCTTTTAAGCCTTTGGTCTGTAACTGTGAGTGTGATTGTGTGGAGTTTAGCTAATTGAATCAAGTCGGGCTTCTGTAATCTGAGAACCAAGTGCTGCAAAGGAATTTTGACGAATGAAGCACACTCAGTATTGACTGTTTCACCAGAAGGTACATATTTGTGGTAGCGATAGTTCATATTCATCATCAATTCACCTTCTACCGGATACCTCCGAAGTTCACTTGCCGTCCACCATTTTCCTCGTACATTCTTAGAGGGAATGACAGCACCACCACACTGCAACAAGATCGGAGAAATGGCTAGACAGAGAGAACTTCTTACTGGCACCTGATATATGTGATATTTAGTACAAATGGCAGCCCAGAAATCATGGCGAAGCATGCAAGGTCGCATAAACCAAAGTCTGATCAGCCTGACCTGGCACCGGGGAGAATGCCAGGTCAAATAATGTGATGGATTAGGCTGAATATAGCCATATGTATATCCCTGTGTATATTCTGAATGGTTCTCGACTAGCAAATGATAAATCACATGGATGTGACTAAAGGCGCAGATGGACAGAGCTTGCAGTAGAGGTGCTCATCCTAACCTCGTCCCAAAGGGACCCGGGGCTTTCAATCAAGGTGCCCAGTGTAACCTGAGATGTGTAGTATACATCCACACAGAGGGGGACAATCTGCAAACGTGTGAGTAACGTGAAACAGTGAACAGAAATAATAGCGAACTTACGGCATGGATCAAACCGGTTTGCAGAAAGTGATGTGTAGTTGGCATGCATAGAGACATGCCATGTGCACTGGATGAGCCTAAAAGGCCCAATAGCAAGGCAAATGTGAGCGGAGAGTGGGCAGACATTGTGGTTCGAGTTGAGAAGTGAGAAGCGCTCAAAGGCAGCCTAGCTGAACTTCAACTTCAACCGCCACCAAAATCCCATACTCATGTGATTTATTACTAAGCATCATGGCAGACAGATTTCACATTTCAGCAGCAAGACGACAGTTAGAATTATCAGAGAAAGGCAGACATATTTATCACACAGAAATGGCAGACAACAGATTTCATTGCAACAACGGTGGGATAACACCCCAGTAAAGACAAAGAAGAACAATATGCAGGTTGCTAAAGGCAGCAAGGGCAGGAAACAGATATCAAGAGGACATTAGACAAGTATAAGAGGGATGAGCTACAGCTAGAGTGGTGAGCGAGCATGAGAGTCATATGTAAGCAAGTCCACAGAGGAGATATTATGCACGTGACTGAGGGAGAGGGAGATATCGGTGAGGACAAAAGGGTAAGCAAGCTAGAACAATATACAAGTCTGGGATAGAGCAGGAGAGTGGGAAGCAGAGGTATATACTAGGCTATGACAATGACTATATAAGCACTGTCCAACTGGGATGATGATTGCAAAAGCTGTCCGACAAGGATGACAACCCAAACACTGTCCGGAATGACAAGACGACAAGTACCTGATGATATCTAAACATCATGCATCTTGTGACTGCCGAGCTTCACAGCACCGGCGAGGTTCACAGAGATGCGAAAGTCGACATCAGACCGGCCGTAGGTGTTAACGGTGAAGTACACCAGAGCAAGGTCATAGAGGCGGAGCTCGTTGCTGTGCGGCTTTGGGCCGGAGTAGATCGGGAGGTTGGACGGCTCCTCGACACGGAAGCCGGGGGCGGGGTTGTCAACCTTGAAGTGCTGGCTGGCGTCAAAGATGGGGTCTAGATAGATATGTTTTTAGTATGCAGTGTAGAAGGGGATTAAATGCACTTACAGTTGTCGCTGTTGTTGTAGAAGGCGCGGATCATCTGGGCGGTGCTGCGAACATTCTGAGTGCGAGTGATCCCCATATGGGAGATGGCCAGAGCTGGAAGTGTAGGGTGAGCATGTGAGCGTATAAGCAAAATTGATATACTCACGGAGATTGTTGGTGTTCCCTGAAAATGAGCAGAAAGATATTTGTGAGCTGGATGCATGTAAAATGACAGACACACTCACCTCTAGAAGTCGACGGCTGGGACACATTTGGAGACACAAGGTAGGTATGGGCCCAGAAGGACATGATGATCTGGGTAGATTCCGTAGCGTCGTTCCAGAACTGGTTGTACCTGGTGGGAACGGCACTCTTGTTGATGTCGAAGGCATTGAGGAAGAAGCGACCATAACATGAGCAAGCCATGTCGCCTATGAGCATGAGCTGGATGCCCTTGGCCTCCTTCTTGCTGGCGTTGAACTTGTAGATGCCAGTGCCCCACATCTCACAATGGAGGACGACGCCTACTATGTAGAAGAGCGCCTGTTGGCCCTTGTTCGGTCCAAACCGGAAGCCGAGGTTGTGAATAGGAGAACCAGGTGACTTCTGGATCCCCATGAGCAGGGAAGGGTCTGCACAGCTGATGTTGACCATGGTTTTTCCATCACCGGGACTGGAGAGCAGCTTGAGAAAAGCGCTAAAAATATCTAAATCAGAGGGTGCCTTCTATAAAGTCAGTTAATAAGACGTACATAGGGTCAAGGTCCAGGAAGGCCTCATCGAAAAGCCCATCAGTGAGGAAGTGTCTTACTGTACTGCTGAGCAGTGACAGAGGCCTGATGTGGGAGTGGGCCACAAACACCAATCAGGGAAGAGAGAGGGGTGGATGGGTGTAGATTGAGTGTGGATGACCTCCATGTAGTGGTGCAGAGTGTAACGGTTCACGTTACATCATGCACCTTACGATCATCTCGGCTACCACTTTCGGACTCACACTATGTACCTGCATTTGTGTTCTACATACCTTTTGAGAAACCAACACACACACCCTATCCTACGACTACGCCCTACGGACAGCTCAGCGGTCGTCCTGCTCGCCTACGACTCTCCTGTGGGCAGGCTATGTGACGTCCCAGCCGCCGACCGTCACACAGAGGTGATGCCGGCACTAGGCGCAAACAGATGCAAACTAGAGTCACACGAGGGATGTCTAGCCCACAAAAACCAAGTTAACATAGCTCTACATACATACAGGCAATCGAGATACTCACATAGCCCACAAAGACCAAGAGGTCGGGATGAGGGCTAGGACACGAAGTGCAAGTGCTAAGTGAGGGCGCGACACGGGCGCTTAAGCGCGGGAACAACCTTCCAATATAGTAACAGGCAGAGAAAAGGTGAGGAAAAGGCGAAAAATAATACATAGTGCACATCCAGAGTCCGTTCCACGACATTACCCCCCTCCTAAAACCCATCCATCCCAGATGGACATGATCCTCCCCTCCTGCCAGTCTTCCTTCTCCATTTCCACATGCTCAGGGTGCTCAACCCTCCTCCACGGCAGAGCGGTGAATAGAGTTGCAGATATCTTGTGAGGCGCATTGGGATTGTGCTCATAGAACTCTGCGACCTTCTCTGGGGCATTGGCGACATTCGCCGCTGGTTCCCATGAGTCGTCACCCTCTCCATGTCCCTTCCACCGTACCTGGAACTGAAGCCAGCAGTTGAAGAACCGACGGTCCAGAATCCTCTCCACCTCATACTCCTCCTTTCCGTTCACTTCCACTGGCTCCGGCGGTGGTGCTCGTCGCCCGTTCACATTGTTCCCTCCATACTTGGACAGCCAATCCACATGTACAACTGGGTGGATCTTGAGCGTGGGTGGGAGTTCGAGACGATAGGCTAGGTCACCCACGTGTTCGACCACCTTGTAGGGTCCCAGCTGCCGGACACCAAGCTTGCACGTTGCCTGGTGCACACTGATGTCTTTTGCGCTAAGCCAGACCTTGTCTCCGACTTCGAATGCCTTCTGATCACGAGGGTGTTCCTCTGTAAAGTGGACCTTCATCTTCGCCTTGCCTGCGCGCAGCACTGATTCGATGTCCTTCTGTGCTTGGCGCATGCCCTCTAGACAATCCTCTAGATGAGGGAAGCGAGTCTCTGTTCCCACTGGTACTGTGAAGTGGTGATAGTAGTGGTGTTTAATATACCTTATTAAGGTCTCTCATTATATTCCATCTCTAATTAATCATTTTCTGCCAGTAATGGCCCACTTCTACCTGAATATAGTCAAAGATTGAGGTGCTGTATTTGACTTTACAGAGGCAGAATACACACTATCATTCTACATTGCCAGACCAGTCATATAGGCCTTCTGCATAGCTTTCTGATGTATATACGATCACCCCAAACAGATAAGAACTGAGCTCACAGGAGTTATCCAAAGTTAGTAGGCACCAGTGATAACATCTATACTGTGCCTCATCTAATGCATTTAAAGCAAAGATGTGAGTGCATCAGCAACACACTCTACGGTGGCTGCTTTCATGAATATAGTCAGGATTTTAGGCAATTGATTGGATTTCACAAAGCCTGAATACCCATTGTTACAACCAGGCCTGCATAGCACAGCCACATGCAGACAAAAGCGGCACTACCAGGGATTGAACCCAAGGCTCCTGGGTCCCCCACCCAGCAGCTGGACTAGCTGAGTTGAGCTGAGTTTGAAAAAAGCGTTCAAAACAGGCACCCAGCGCACTTTCAGCCACTGTGGCAGTTGTGGCAAGGGCAGAAGGGGGCAAATAGTGCCAAATAGTGTCCATATATGGCAGAGAGGCATGGGTGAGGCTGCTGACAAAGATTGGGTAGCACAACCCCACTAAAAGAGGATGGATTGCCACCCAGGGCTTGTGGATGACAATTTTAGATGGCTGGGTGTGGCTTGCAGTAGCTGGCTGTGGTGGCTGTGGCTGAGTGTGAAATAAAGCGCCCAGGAGCACTGAGATGGGTGAGGTGGCTGGTCCCAGGCTCCAAACATGCTATTATGGGCTCAAAGCATACAAAACAATAAAACAAAGTACATAGATCATGTGTGCAGTGCTACTACTAGCTACACACCAAAAATGAAGCAAATCAGAGCATAGAAAGGAGATGAATGGCACACAGGCCTTGTGGATGTAGCAATGCAATGGGCGCCTCTGAAATAAACACCGTTAATGCTGTGCTAACCCACACTGTCAGTATGCGCACAGGTGGGGCAAAAATGCGAACTGGGGGATGAATGAGAGGTTTACAGAAAGAGCACACACCTGGGAACAATCTGGCAGTGTTCTGGGATTGATGGGGGATGGAAAGGGAGGCACAGTGACATCAAAGTACCATGGAGATGAGCAAATATATGAAAGCATACCTACCTAACACCCACAGACACCCAAAGCTTACCAGAGAGTTGAAGAGAATGCTGAATCCATCTCACACAGAACTTGGTCTGTGCTCCAACAACCCGGCCACCCAAAGTGGCAATGTCACAGGCATCCTAGGCTCAAAACCACCGCTCTAAATCAGTGCACCGAGTAGGCATGGTACAGAAGCACAGGGACTGTAGGGGGGCATCCTCCCACTCATGAGCACTGACTTTGGCCAAAAGCCAGGCTACAGAGGTGAAGGGTGGATGAGAGTCCCCCAAGAGAGGAGGAGCAGTGGCAGCAGGGATGAGAGTGCGCTGCTGGTGCTTATGTAACCCTTTTCTCACACACCTTATTAGGCGACTGCATATGAGAACATTGCACACCCTCCCTATTGTTCATTTCTTGTCTGTTTCTTATGATTTAAACTATTCCAAGTACGTCTTCAAAGTGGCTTTCGAATTATATATGTTACATAAGCATATTCCCAGTCCCAGTGCTATAACTCAGTCAACACTGCCAAGCAGTAGTTGCTACAGTATAGCAGCTGCAATGCACAATACATAATGTAACATGTACTGTCTTGTAGCCCTCCAAAGAGGTTTCTAATGTACCTGCATATATAGTGATTGGCTCAGCAACAAGCTTATAACCAGCCATACACTATACAGATAGTGTGCTACCAATGTTACTCAACCCATTCCACCACATGCACTTCCTGTATCACATGACATAAATATGAGATCCCTCTCATCAATGCACATTGAACACACCTAAGATCATCTGAGCTCATACCATTAGTTACAACATATAGACCATATGTCATAGTCCTTACAGGGCTGAAACTACTACATTCATATGAGCGCTTTGTTTACATCTAGACTGGCTACTATGCAAAATTGCTTCACAAATATAATCAACATTCTAGGGAATTGATCTGATTTACCAGTAGGCAGGCATAGGTGCAATGGGCAGAGACAGGGCATTACAGCCACTGGTTGTCAAATAACTTACAGAAGCCTCACTTTGCTGAAATCAGCCCTTCACAAATTGAATTAATTCCTATAACTCTTGAGTATATTCATAGCAATAGTACACATAGTGTCTCACTGAAGCCCCCAAAGAGCGCCTACCTCAGTCCAGTTGAATAGGTGTAAACACTAACAGGCACTACAAAGTGTAACAGAGAGTGAATCACTGAGCCAAAGTGGCAGTGCAAACCCAGCGCTAGTGGAACCCTAACCCAGAGCTAGGGTGATGGGAGTAAGTAGAAAAACTATGCATAGGAAGTGGCTGTGCTAGTCAAAATTAATTGGAGTCTGAAGCAGATTCCCACAGCGTTGAGTTAAGGGTGTCGTGCATCGCAGCTAGAGCTCACCTCATAAAGAATGATTTATTTGTACATTGTAAAGGTCTTCTGAGGTTTCCCCTTGTTGGCAGCCTCTACCAGCTGCATAGAATATGTGTATCCCGCTGCACACCACACCTCCTTCTTTGCATCCTCTAGCACTCCTGACTTCTACCACTTCTGTTGTTGTGCTCAGTTTGCGTTGATACACTCAAATACACATCAGAAAAAAACACAATTTGCATATTAGCCCTACTTTTCTCTAACACATCTATTCAGCAGACTTTTGGCTCTAATGTGGTCTAATGCAACTAATCACCCGACTTTTAGACCACATGAGAACCAGCACATCTAACAGCAAACATATTAGGTCTCACATCTTACTAATGTGTCCTAATATGTCTAATGTGTCACATATTTACACCCATTAGAAGATAGTGAGGGTGCATAATACTAACACTCTAACTCCTGCAATCTGATACTAAACAGTTTCTATCAGAGACAGCAACTGGACCCAAGTGAGAACCCTAACATCACTCAGTGCACTAATTCACAACAATATAGATGTGTGGGAAAGACGAAATATATTGGTAACTAACATAATCTAACTACACTAGTAATGAAGGTGTGTCTATTAACACACTCTCACTTGCTCCAGAAACCTCCTATAGCAAGATGAGGGTGCAGGTGACAAAGGTGGGGTGATGATGTCAATGAGGTGGCAACACAGATGAGCAAGCGGGTGACAGGCAGGCAAGGTGAGTAGCATGGTGAAGTGGGCCACACATGAGGCAAACAATGTGGATGTGGGCGAGGTCACCAACACGGTAACATGGGCGAGGTCGGCAATGTGGACATTGGCATAGGGGCGACGAGGATGAGAGCGGGCAATGTGGGCAATG